ATTATTGGTTAATCAAATTTTCAATGATACATTCTTGTTTCTAGAGCAATGGATTTCCTAGGCAACTAGGAACGAGGGCGCAGTGAAATACGCCGGAAACTCTGGTCGTGGATGAGTCATTCGCTATTTGACATACTCCATTGTCAGAACACCTTATGATCTTTATACGGTAGCATACGAAAAGTACAAACTCATGTAACTTCGTTCCTGATGAGCGCGAGATGGCTCTAGCGGACAAAATGAGGTGAGATGAATGTGACACTGGAGGTGTTCAAATTTCATGGAGTCGTGGCCTTCTCAAATGACCGAACTAGGCAATAAAAGCAAAGGGACAATGTAATACACAGTGAAACCTATTCTTGAAAAAGTCATTCTTTATTTGGCATTCTTATTTTTAGATATGCTCTCTATAATCTGATATCGGTGTCATGGTCACGGATAAGAGGCCATAACTAAAGTACGGGATCGTATGGCTGGGCGATTTAAGGCGGAGTGTATATTTATGAGTCATTGGGGTCGAAGGAGATCCTGAATTGGTCAGTTAGCGAGGTTTTCATTAACGGAAATTGAGTAAAACATATTGGAGGAGAAGTTGACTGAGTACAAAATGAACTGAAGGACATTTGACCACCGCCCACCTATAGTACTATCGAATAAAGGCATTTGCAAATTATTTTTGCTCTACCATTTACACCCATTATTAATTGCATCTGAGAGCAAAAACAAGAATTCTGGAACGACACTTGACAGATTATAACAGAAAATGGGGAAAATAGTAACGCTTGACCCTAGTCAATCTCTTTTAAGATCACAGTTTGAGCTTGAAAATCATGTTTCCTCATGCTGAATGAAGGACCTCGCTTATCAGGTCATGCTTTGTTATAATTCTTCTACGTTACAGCTGTCTTTTTGTTGCTTCATTGTTTTTCGTGTAGCTTCAGCGGTAGTCGGAACAGATTACCTGTTTCATCTCAACAGTGATGATCGCTCGGTGTTTTACAGCAAGGAACATCTTCGAGTATTTATTGAACAATTTGAACCACACCCTATGAGAGGTTTAATAGAGTACTAATTTCCAGCGCTGACTCTCCTCATATACACGCTGTCTTCCGGTTTCTCGGAGGTACTATCGTTCTGAACTGTCAGCCAGTTCTCTGCAGTCGTCATTTCCGCCACAGTCAGAACGCAATGTTACACTAGCAAATCAGCGCTCGCCCTGTGAATAAAGATTTGCGGTCGAATATTCCACTGCTGTTTAAATGCTGAGGTGATATTCAAAAGCGTTACATTTGTAACTTCATCATCTCATCTCATATAGCCCAGTTGGCAAGTATCTTTTCTAATCGGAAAGTCGTGTCAGTTTTCTTCTGTTGTATGGCTGAGGTAGTGGCAACAATTTTATATTTAAATGTTGTGTTCAGATTTCGCATCGCTTTCCAGTTAAAAGCTCTGTGCTTCCTTGCCACCTCTCCAATGTAGCATTCTTTTCGCTAACGGTAAGTTGAAACATTGGTTCCCACAAGGAACTTCGCTTGTGTACCCTACGCAGTAGTCGAATCCGCATCACACCGCAAAAATCGATGGCCGCTTTTAAAGAACATCCATTCGGTTTCTGCCTCAGTCGTTATCAATAGGATCTGTTGAAACCGTAGCAAAATGTCGTTTGTAGCTTACGCCCTCTTATCGGGAGAAGAAAGTATTTCCCATGTGATTATTTCGTTGCTTCTACCACCAGTCTGCGCATAGTGCTCCATTATTTGTCGATGAGGATATCAGCAGCAAATTGATAATCAATCGGCTGACAACGCCCTACTTTTCTTGCACGGAAACATCGACTGCAGAGCGTCCTAAGTCTAGTGATATGATTATCAAATCGATAATGATGTTCTGAGCAGAAGCTAGTGTATATCAAATATACTGGTGCACGTTTCGATGTCTTGAGAAGGTATTCATAACAGACAGTCCGTTGTTTGTATAGAACCACAACAACTTAATGCAATTATTGCGTTCGATGACGTCATTATCATGAAGAGCAGGAAGGTGTAGTTCACTGGAGACCTCGTGACGGTGTCCAGCCTACCTCTTTTCTGATCCGAGCTTGGGACCGTCAAAGACGGAGCCGTCACTCGAATGTGCTGCGACGAAGCGCGCGAAGACATTGACCATTTTTTAATGCTTAAAATCCGATGGTGCTTGAGTGGAATTTCCACGCGGCAAACAAGGTGTTCTGGCAGACCATTAGTCGGCTTGGAGGTGATAAGAAGGGCAGTCTAAGAGTCTTGAAGGACAGGTCTGGACACCCTCTTACTCAAGATAAGAACATTTTTCAACGAAGGACAAAATACTCCTCAACCCCGAACAACCGCAGAAAAAGACTCGCCTGAAGAGCAGCAGGGGACGGATATTTCAGTAGATGAAATCGCAGAAGCTATGAAAGCTTCAAAAGTGGCAAGGCTTTTTGGATTCATGACTCCTGCTGTAAAACGTTAAAATAAAAGGTGAGCAACGCATGCATTGGTTAACACGTGTATGTGAAATTGAAATGACATAGGGTAACAATGGACTAAAGAACAGGATTGTACAACCCGTGTTCAAGTAGTTAGACCATGGAGAGTGCTCCAGCTGTTGAGGTATTACATTACTAAACCTGCAGGGAGAGGTCAATGCAAAGATACCAGAAGTAGTCGCGGGCTAACTATAAGTGGGACAGTGTGGTTTCAGGTCTGGGAGAGGCATCTCCGGCTAGATCTTCATCTTTCGCCGGTTTACATGAGCTTTGTAAAGACGGAGAAAACCCTTGACTGGTTCCCGTGCGAAAATACTATGGGCGCGCCAATAAACATGGGATCGATGGCCACTTGCTACAAGCTATTTAGTCACTGTGTTAGTAGGAGGTGTTGTGTCAGTGCAAATATTCCTGAATCGAGACCTTTCATTTTTGGTACTGGTCTCCACCAAGGCTGTGGCTTGTCTCCTCTCCTGCTTGCATTGTACATGGATACAGTAGTCAGGCGTAGCCAACGTGAAAAGTGCGTCAGCATAGGAAATGTGAAGACGAGAAGGTTGCTATTTGCAGACGACCTTGTTCTGTTGGTATCTGCTGAAGCTGATCTACAGCACTCTCTGGAAAAGCTCACAGCAGAGTGCGACTTAACCGGCATGCGTATGAACGTGTCTAAGACGAAAAGCCCTATGCTTTTTCGTTCTCTTGCTCATTGGGCTCTGCAGCTAAACCGAAAGGCAGTCAAACAGGTGGAAAAATTCACGTACCTGAAGGTCGTGTTGGGTGATGATTGAAAATGAGAGGAAGAGATCGACCGACGAATTAGAATGGCCAGCTGCATTCTTGGTGGTCTAACTCGAACTATTAAGACTGAAGCAGAGCTGAGTCTAAAGAAGTTTTTTTCGTATTGACCTCGATCTTCATCCACATCATCACGTATCATCATGAATCGTGGAACTTAAATGAGAACCTTCGACCCTGCCACAATCATCTGAGGTAGGCTTTCTGAACCGAATGGCTGGGTGTAATGCGCTTTGACATTCCATGAGGGAACCCTCGACTACATTAAGTCCAAACAACTGCGACGGTTTGAGGACGTTTTGCGAATGCTTCCAGAAAGAAGAACAAAACCTTTCCTAGTTGCCCAACCAAAGAACCAACCTATTGCCAATATATTATGAATTATTTGAATCGTGCATTGGTACTAATATTGAAAACTAGTACAAAACGGTTTGTTTCGCATATGCCATTAAAGTATTGCCATCACCGACTGATAATTCGTCCTTTCCGGCATAAACTGAAACTTAATCACAATTAAGTCCATGCGGGTATGAACTGAAACTAAGTAAGTCAGTCAAAGCCGGTAATGTCGTGTTTTGCTCGACCATTACTAGGTGCCCCCTGCACGTAAGCCACCACCTCAAGTTAACGCTGTTAACTTTGACATAGGCTGGCGATTAAACAGTAATGCCGTGAAAACTACACTAGTGTGGGTTGAAATACGAATTAGTTTATCCGTACCCGCACGGACTGATTATCACTCTGGACGATAGCATATACATTTGTCGTACGTAGGGTATCTATACATTATATGCAACGCTGATCATCTCTATCCGTCTGCATTTTATTTATCTCCGTAGCATGTTAGCCTCTTGGTCGACGTTTGTCGCGTTCCAGTTTCAGTATGATAAGCTGGTAACAGTGGAGGTCACCTCCACAAGTTACAGCAAAGGTTTCATGTTCAATAAATTTGTAAGAAACTATTTTGCATTTCGCAGATATTGTGTACACAACATTCGAGAATACAGTTGGGAAAATGACATCATATGAAGCTCAGACGAAAGCTTTCAGATTTGTCGGACTTGTGTACTGGACCATTTCTGATCAGTCGAATCACAAAGCAACCTTAAAAACAATTCTGAGAAATAGCAAAAGGGACGAAGAAGTTCATTAATACAAAGCGGAGCTGAACGCAGGTCTTTACATTTGGCGTGGCTCAGGACGAACAACAAGTCTGAATTCAAAATTTTGTTTTTACCTCGCAAAAGACGACTATTGTATTAATACGTTCAAAGAGTCACGATGATGATGACGATGACAACAAACGTCAGCGTCTATGTCATTGCCTTCTGTACGAAATCATATAAAGAAAATAACTTAAAATAGTACGATATGTAAAAGTAGTCAGCAGAAATCTAAAAACAAAGCGCATCTCCTAAACAGCACAGACGAGGAATGAACAACAGGATATAACATAGTCACCGAGCTGATGATACACTATAATCACAAGTTTAGAACAGGACCGAATTCCTGTTCATCAACAAACGATGTTTACAGTGCGCTAATTTTGAGACCATATGGTCGTAGGGACGTTCGACGAAACGCTGCCAGACCGCGAACGCTTGGTCACCGGTGTGGCGGCATCATTCATGTACGATCCTTGAGCCGTTTCTGCTATATCATCAGCGGAACCGTAGTTTTCTGTGGCTGAACTAAGTACAGCACTCTAGAAAACGAATGACCTTCTGACAGATAAATCGAGATCATTTTAAACACTACATACGCATTTCATTCAAAGCGATTATGAAAGTTATTGTACGATTAGATATAATAATGGCATCTGAACTTTGAATCGTATAGAATGCCGGAAACTACAGTACTACTGTCGATACTCATCGAAATATTGGTTTGTATGGTACTACTGTCGATACTCATCGAAATATTGGTTTGTATGGTACTACTGTCGATACTCATCGAAATACTGGTTTGTATGGTACCATTCAACTGTCACCTATTCCTAGAGATATAGAAAAATTTTAATAAAGGGGGGATGCTTGTTATGGTGTTTGCTTCCATCTCGTATCCGCTGGATTTGTTCTGAGGCAAAAGGTTCTCTGGTAACACAAAATATCAGATTCAAGGAAACACGTGGAGCAACTGGTTTCAGACGCGCAAACGCTGTCACTGTTCACATGCAAAAATTAAAACCATCACAAAAATAGATCGAAAACACTTTTACGGCTCAGAATATGAAATGCATCGATTCATTTTGCATCAGCGACAGCTAACTCAGAACAAATTGTTTTTATAACTCGATTATTCGTACGCTTTCAGATCGCCATCAGAACGACGATCGATACGTAATCAAGTGGTTCACTCAACTTTCTCAATGTTCGAACTGAACACAGTTTCTAACGCTGATGCTTAGGTGCGGTTGGCAGGTAGCAAATTGTTTTAATACTTAAATTTTTTGCCAAATGAGATTTTAGCAGCTGCCATGCACCATTTCATACACAGTTTACGGGAAAGATCAATACCAATAAGAAAAAGCAGCAGCAAGTATTGCTCTAGTGAAGAAAATGAAGCAAATGTAGCTATTCAATAAATGACTTACGTAACTGACCCGTAAGGTATCGAGGAACGCCACGCAATAAAACAATGTCTTGCAACTCTGTATGAAACAACTGTGAGAATTAACTGTTACAAGCGTGTGCATTAATGAGATGATTACAATGATGCAATAAGTTTCGTTTCATGTATTATGTATTAGTAAAATGATATTTGTTTTTTATCGCTAACTTAAATTAAGGTTTTTAGGGTATGTTTGGGAAAAGTTTCGAAATGATTTACATGGAAAAATTATTAACCTTTCTAATGAGTATGGAAGGAAGTATCGATTCCTTGCCTATTAATGGTTTCCGCTTTTCAACCTAGGTTAAGGCAACATTTAGAAAGGACGATGTCAAAGCCTTCATTTACTGACCCTCTTAAATGTACAAATTAGCATCATGATCATAAGGTTAGTATTACACAAGAAGTAGTACAAAGGTAAAACTGCAGTGGCCGAATCGTTAGTTCCATTAATTCTCTCGAACAAACTGGTAGATGGCATTTCTGCTGCCATTCAGTCGAAACCAGCTCCTACATGATCCGCGTTTGTAAGAGAATATGCATTAATATATTATTTAAATTAATAATTCGATGTTCATTCACTCGTCATCAGCCGAAGTGATACTTGCCTAACTAGAGGGAGTTTACAAGTAGAAAGAATGGGAAAAGAGGTATAAATACTGTTTTTTTCGTTCCACAGGTTCCTCAGAGCTTTCCTCCAATTTTATTATGGATTTCCCGATACAGATCTTGTCGCAGTCATTGAACTCAATTTTGTAAACCATGTTCATCTCTACCGTTATTTTCGACTGAACAAACTTACGATAAATCTGCAATCTTAATCAACCCCCCCATATTTTGTAGATCCTAATTTTCCTTCTCA